CCGACGGAGTCGTGCAAGACGATGTACGTTCATCTTGCTGTCTTCGTACATCGTCTTGCACGACTCCGTCGGCATCCTCATCCTGGCCAATTCATGACCAGAAATCGGCAGTGCGTTGTTTTTATTGCCGATCGGTGGACGTGACGGGAGCCTGCAGCGCAAGAAATCTTGGTATGGGACCTTCAAACAGTAACGTGACACGGAGTCCTTGTAAGCCGCAGTCTCGTTCATAACGAGCTCCAGTAAGGATGACTCATCTTTACTGGATGAGTCATCCAGTAAAGATGAGTCATCCAGTAAAGATGAGTTGTCTGTGGTGAATTCGGCCGACCCCAAAGCGTCATCGCCAGGACGTCCTCCCCGACGGGACAAATAAAGTACTGTGGATATCACTGCGCCACCACCTCCGAGAATTCCGACGCCGCTTACGAGAACCCACGGCCGTCGCCAGAAACTTGGCGCGTCGTTACCGCCGTTATCGTAAACTGTCCACCGTCGTTACCGTCGGGCTCCTGATGGTTCCTCGACGGTCTGTCATCCTCGATGACAATGTGCCGCCCTTCGGACATCAGGAGCTGGTCCACTTCATCACTGTCCGTGGTTCCGGACTCGAACTCGGGTGGAAGTTCGAGAACCTGTACCGCATTGTCTTTATCCCCCGAATCGACGGGTGTCCCGTCCGACCCCAAGACGGCGACCAGCACCACGCTCTTCTGCAAGCCACTCTGTTCCAAGCCCTTCATGTCAATCCATTTAAAAGACCAGACTGGGATCACACAGTGAACAACGGCGCGGCGCGGCGAGGAAAGATGGCTCAGACCCGAGGGCTGAACGGGGTGCCAAGATTCACGCCACCTAAAAATATAACTTTACGGAAGACGACCAACAAGTCTCGATCGCACACCCTGACGGCTCAACACACCCCCGCGACCAGCCCTGTCGGGTCCCTGCGATAACTATACTCGCTCGCGCTCCGCCGTCTACCTAACCGCTCTCGTTTTCCGAGCCCCTCGTCTGTCTGCATCACTACCACGGCATTGCAGCTCACTGAAGCGTTACGCGCAGCTCCGTACGGTCTAGACGCGCCCAGATAAATCTCGAATCCCAACGTACTCGACATTCCCAACCACGGCAAGTACCGGGAGGATGTCCACTCCACAGCTGGGTCTGGGGCTTACTTCCTTCACGTACTCAAAGCTCGCACGGCTCTCTCGCCAACGACGACGGCCCTTCACCTTCTGCTTCAACGCCCAGTCACCCTTTGCAACCAGCCACCGACTTACTCTGTCGGTACCGTCTCTTGGCCCACTACCCTCGTGGCTACCTCGCCGGCCACGACGCGGTTCAACAACCTGAACATACGCTCCCCGCGCACTCTGCGCGTTGACAATATTGCCATGCGCTCACTCGAACGCCCTCGATCCGTCCATAGCACCTTCCTCTCGACCCGACACCACACTTCTCCTCGAGTCTCACCATAGACCCGAACACACCTCGACGGGAGCAAGGACGGAGCGCCACATCGCCCCAAGGACTCGCCTCGAGGCAACCAGTCCGGAACTCCGCTCACTCGTCCGCTCGCTCCGCCTGTATCTCCTCAAGCCTCTCCGGACGAGATCTGACCCGATCTCCGCCTACTGAGGCTATCGAGCTGCTCAAGCAGCAGCCTGAAGGCAAGTTCGATGACGATCGCGTTTTCTGGGGCATGGACATGGGAAGCGTCCATGAGCGATTCTTGTCTGAGGAGCACTTCAAGAAACCCGTCATCGTTTACAACTACCCCTACGAGCTCAAGGTCAACACCGACGCGGGGGTCGCGCCAGGGACTACTGTCAGAGCTATGGACGTTCTCGTGCCGACCATTGGCGAAGTCATTGGAGGCTCAACGGACAGGCGACAACAACGTCTTTCAAACTGCCGTCGGCGGAGGCACCCACCCAATGTGGTCAGGCAGATAGACACACCACGGCGAGGGAGCGTTTTTAACAATCGTTCTGTTGTCTGATTACGGCCGCTCACTTCGTCCGCGACGTGGCACAACATGTAATCTAGGTGTTGAGACCCGGTTGACCTTCCGGCCCCGGTGGTTACTGGAACTCAGCGTCGACTACCCATTCAACACTCACCGCAGCACGGTATCTCATCTGCCAGCCGGTATTTTTTGACACACATCTAGGTTCTGTAGTTTTAGGGATGTCAGTGATAGTCACAGGGACTGCCGCAAGACAACTCTTGGTGGTACCGCGAGCTGCGTTCGGGCGGCACTGTGCCCCACGCAGGTTACTCAGGCAACCGCGAATTTTAACTTCCGTACAGCAGCACAACTAACAATAAGGCGTCTCAACGCCGTTGGGCGACCCTAGAACTTTCCACAGACACGTTTAGTGTGCAGAAACCTTTCAGGATAATTTTTAGTGTGCCTGCCTGGTTCGTCTCCTCAGCATCCCACCACAGAAGCCATACCATGCCTCAACCACATCGCGTTGGTTGGGTCGAAAAGAATTAAAAAAATTCCATGCGGTTCGATGACAAGGTTGAGTATGTAGAGTCTCTGTTGGGGTACCGTTTCAATAACCGGGACTTGATTGAGCGTGCTTTGACGCACCGGTCGATGGGCGAGGCGATCTGCAACCAAAAGCTGGAGTGGTTGGGCGATAGTGTGTTACAACTGGCGGTGAGCGACATTTTGTACGAGCGGTATGGTGAGCGACCGGATACCCGCGAGGGGGACTTGGTGCGAGCGCGGGAAATGTTTGTTCGCGGGGACAAATTGCGTGCGTTGTCGAAGGAGTTGCAGCTGCAGAACGGGTTGATAACGGCGAATGGCGTGAGTGAGGTGTTTAATGAGAAGATGAGTGAAGATTTAGTCGAAAGCATATTGGGAGCTATTTTCATCGATGGCGGGTATGCCATCGCGCGCACCTTGGTGAAGAAGATGTTCAAGCCGCAAGACTGGGGCGATTGTATCAACGCGCAGCGCGACAGTAAGTCGGAGCTGCAGGAGTTCTGCGCGAAGTGTGCCCTCAACTTCCCCTCCTACGCCGTGGTCAAGGAAGAAGGCCCGATGAACTCACGCATCTTCAATGTACAAGTCACCGTCATGTCCATCTCCGCCGCCGGCGCTGGCACCAGCAAAATGAAGGCCGAACAGGCGGCCGCTTCGGTCCTGCTCGAACAACTAAAAAATGTAGACGGCATCATCGAACGACCAACCAACGCCAAGTCCAGACTCCTCGAACTCTGCCACAAGATGCGCCTCAGCCCCTCCCCCGCCTTCTTCACCACCGAGTGCCGAGATCTTTCCTCACCCATCCCCCAGTACAAATGCGTCTGCGTAGTCACCACACCCACAGGCGAAAAAATTACGCAAGAAGCCATCGCCGGCACCAAAAAGGCCGCAGAAAAAGAGGCCAGCCACCTCATGTACATCAGCCTATTCGCCTACAAGCAAAACCAACCCGCGCCCGCCGCACTCTCCAAGGTCTGTCCTGCGCCTTCTCCCAAAGTACAACTCATCAACTATGCCGCCAGCAACAACCACTCACCGGTTCAATTCACTGTAAGCCCCACGCGCTCATTCTCACCCGTACTTCTTCTGCAGGTCACAGAACAAATACCCTGCACATTCAAGGTCGAGTGCGCATACCCCACTCTCGGCGTCAAAGGCTTCGGCTGCGGACAATCCAAAAAAGAAGCGGAACTTAACGCCGCCGAGCGGGTTCTCGAACGGCTCAAAGAAGCCCTCACCCAACGGGAAATGAGCGACATGTCAACCGACGTAGGCTCCGATTTCACCCGCGCACCCACTCCAAGTCTCACGTAAACCTGGAGCTTCGCCAACCAATACAAACCGCAATTGCCTCGGGTCGGGCTGCAGCGAGTTGTCGGCGGCCGGTCAGCTCGCCGGAACGGCCTGCAGCTCACCGCTGAGCGGACCCGTAACTCACCGCTGATCGGACCCGTAACTGATCGGACCCGTAACTCACCGCTACTGAGCCCTGGTCTGTTAATCTTGGAACCACCGAACTGGTCAGCCCTGAACAGTTCAGCTCAGTTCATCCTGAACTCATCCAGGCTGGTCAGCTCACCGCGGAACGGGTTCACAGCTGTTGCCGAAGGTGGGCGTGTTACGGCCAAAGACATTTCGCAGCCAGCCAAACGACTCCCTGCTCGCGTCGACCGTCGACAGCGTCTCGCCGCTCGACTCGACCTTGCACTCGAGTGAAGTGGGCACCTGACGCCGCTGATACTCGGCCTCACACTCCAACATAAACTCCAGCTCTGCCACACGTTGCTCGCGTTTGCGCAGGTCAGACGTCAACCGCGCCACGTCGCTCTTCAACAACCGCTTCTCCTCGCGCGCCAGGTACAGCAACTCGTCAAGCTCACCGCGCTCTTCCTCCAGCCGCTGCAACTTCGCCTGCAACCGCGCACTGCATTCCCCCGGCCCACCCAAAACCGACACTGAGGACGACCGAGACAACGGTGAAGACGCAGCGTGCCGGCCCGGAGCGTCCGGCAAGGTAACCTGACAGGCCACGCTCTGACGCACAACCACGGACTCCGACTCCACAATAGACAACTTAAACGTCAACGACTGGTGCTTCGGCCGCCGCTTTACCACTCTTGACTTAAGCTCTTCTATCACCTTCTTGTATTCCGAACAACACTCCACCATCTTCACCAAATCCTGCTCAAGCTCCTCGTTCTCGCTGCGCAACTTGGACACCTCCACCTGCGCAGCCTTTCCCTCGTTCGTCTGCTGCCGCAGCATCTCAAACCGGCCATTTAACTCCTTCAACTCCGTCTCCAGAGCGCAGTACGCCGTCTCAGCCTTCTCCTTCTGGTCGCCAAGCTTCTCCAGCTGGTCCTCGAGTCTGAAGGACGCTTGTGAACAAACCACCCTTCCTTACTTACGTCTTAACTTCTGCCTTCAATACCATCATGCACTCACTCTTCACTTTGTCGTTTTCCTTGAACATACTAACCAAATGCAAGACCTCTTGACGCTCCTTCTCAGTACTGAAACAGCAGATGTGCACCCATCCCAAACCTTCCTCCTACCTCTCCAATGTAGTGAGCGTACTCTTCAAATGCGCACTCTGGGCATCCGCTAGAGCCTGCAGCTCGTTGATAGTATCCCGTAGCTGCATGCAATCCAACTCCAGCTGAGCCACGCGTGGATCCGTGACAAACTTATGCGACCCTGAAGCCGAACCCGAACTGGGAAACGAAGAACCCGCAGGGTCCGACTTGGACGAAGACGAACTGTCTTTGTAAGAAGTCTCCGGTGAAGTTGACGTTTCGCTAGTCGAGGATTGAGACATCTTCGCCTCTATTAGTTGGCTCAACGCCAATAATCCCTGCTGCAACTGACGGTTGGAGGGCTCTCTTCGCTTTTTCCGAGAACCACTTCGCCTCGAATGATCCCGGTGACGACTCTTTCGCTCTTCGAAATCCTTTTCCAATCTTCTTCCTCTCACATCATTCCCATCGCCGGTTATCCGGGACCCAACTGTTTCGGAGCTACTACTGTCCCCGCTATCCGCAGCCACTATCTTAACCGCTTCAAGAATTCCGATACACGCCTTGCGACCAGCACCTTCTTCTAATGCGTTCTGTAACTTATCAAGCAGTCGATCTAGCGCAGCCTGCCGTTTAGCTGATGTGATGTCCACGGGCTCATTCGTATAATTTGATGCAGCAGCATTCCCGTTCCACCACACGAATCTCATAGGTTGCGCCTCCTGAGATTCTTCTTCATCCCTGTCCTCTTCCTCTTCCTCCTTCACATCTTCGTTGTCACTTGGATCGTGCTCTGGCTCGGAACTCGTAGCTCCTGAGGCGCTGCTTTCGGAGTCTCCGGACGTCTCAAGCACCGCGTCGGAAGAGGACGGCTCCTTTATTGTTCCCTCCCCATTAGAAGTCTCAGAGGCAGCAACCTCGTCAGAAGCGACAACGTCGTCAGAAGAGTCATCCGTGTCCTTGTGAGAAGACGTCTGCAGAGACGAGTTTCCAGCATTTTCTTCTGAAGAGTCTCCCTTCCATCGCCCATCTTGAATATCAATATCGGTATCTGAGGATACACTGCTGGACGCAGCAGGCGTCTGATTGAAGTTGCGGATCCAAAAGGATGATGGGTGCGATTTCAGGCTTTGTATGCGATTTCGGACATCCTGACCATCAGAGTTTTCGTCGCTCACTCCAAACCTAGGTGAGCCGTATGTAGTTAATAAATCCTCATCTGCTGAATTCATGTTGGCATTATATAAGGTGTGTGCACACACGTGTTTGTCAAGCGCATCGCCATGTGAGGTATTTCATTAACTTATATTTTACCAATCAATAATGTCCCGCAGCTCAGCATCCTATTACGATAGGCAAATCACAGTGTTCTCTCCAGAAGGGAAGCTGTTTCAAGTTGGTAAGGTGGATGACTCGTTGTGAATTTGTTTGTTGTTGGCAGAGTATGCATTTCGGGCGGTTGAGGCGGCGAACATAACAGTGGTGGCGTTGAGAGGAAAAGAAGCGGCTGTGATCGTTGGACAGAAAAAGGCTTCAAGTCAAGCGTTGGCTCAGGTAACTGGCATGTATATTACATGACATGGTGCTATCTTTTTAGGACAAGTTGTTGGACGCGTCGTCGTTGTCTAGTATGTACTTCGTGACACCCAAAGTCGGTGGTGCGTTTGTTGGTATGCCAGCCGACTGTAGGTCGATGGTGTACCGTGCTCGACAGAAGGCGTCGAATTTCAGCTTTGATAATGGGTTCGAGATACCCATACATCATTTGGCGTATAAGATTGCTCAAATTAACCAAGTATTCACTCAGCACGCGTACATGCGGCTTCACGCTTGTGGTAAGTATCCTAAACACCGCGACCTAAACACTGTGACTTGTTAGTTGGTATTTTGATTGGTATTGACGAGGAGACGCGCGCTCCTAAGATTTTCAAGTTCGACCCGGCTGGTTGGTTTACTGGCAATAAGGCCGCCGTCGTCGGTAATAAAGAGGCTGAGGCCACTAACCTGCTGCAGAAATTGATAAAGGATAAGGAACCTGATACGCTGGATGAGACTGTTATGGGGGCTCTGGCCACTCTACAGCAAACACTGGGAATGGATATGAAGGCGGCCGACTTAGAGATTTCCTACGTCACAGTCGACAACCCCAACTTCAGGTTAATGGCAGAGGCTGATGTGGATCGGTATTTGACTATGGTGGCGGAACGCGACTAGCGGTCACCCGGTCCAGCGCCAGGTCGAGGCTTAGACATTTTTGGAGGTCATGCACCCTCGCTCAACTCGTTACATCCTGTCCTCGTTACAGCCGTTCACCGTGATGAAAGCACCCAGGCGGTGAGTCGGTCGCTGCGGCGTTCAGCCGCTGTGTGCTTAAACGGGCGAACAAGTCGATTCTGAAAGCTCACGAAGCAGTCAGAGAGAATTCCCTGGTTGCTGAGTGTTTGTGCAGTGTGTACAAAAATGATTCAGTAGCTGACTTGTACACAGGGGCTCCGCAACACGCGCGAGACTTTGCGTGCTCCTCAGGCGACCCTCACGGTGAGTTTGTATTGTCAGCTAGACGGAAACCACCCTCGGAGCCAGGCCGCCGTAGAGCTTGAGTGTGCGCCCTTTCGTTCCTGCGGTGTCTGCTCATGAAGGGCGGCTGCACACTGAACGGCGGCTGCACATTTGAAGGGCGGCTGCACACTGAAGGGCGGCTGAAGAACTGTATTCACCAGCCGGGTGCGGTGCATCATTCTTCGGCCGAATGCGATGAGACCGATGGCAAGTCCACCACACCTGCTAAGTGCGGGGTCTCTTGCGTGGCTGTTCATCCTCGCTCTCGCTCATAGGAGCGGGCGGGTATGTGAGGATAATCCCTTCCTGCTTGGCTTGCTCGAGCAGTGCTTCTCGGGGATCCACGGGATTCGTTGTCTCCGACTTATGCGACATCTCTACCGAGATGATCGTCTTAGCTTTCTTCCGTCTCCCGAACTCGTCGTACTCCTCATCACCGCTATCATGCGCCAGCCGGTCTTGTCTGAAAGGCGACCGTCTATTTCGACCCCCCACGGCTTACGGATCCTGTATGTCGTAGTGGCCACCCGCGCGACCAGTCCGTTTCGTGTCTGTGTCGTTCAGAAGTGTGGGCTTCATAGCCAGGCACAAGTTGCACTTGTCCCGCCGCGCCCAGTTCACGTTTTGACACCTACAACGAAATGATATGACTCAACGTAACTACCCGACCTGCAACCACAACAATTTGGTGAGTCAACCGGTGTCGCTGCAGTTCGTGGCGTACCCGGGGCAGAGCCAATCGCCTTGGCGGAGCGGCCTCGACTCCGCGGCCGGCGTTGCGGCTCCATTCTTGGGCCGGACTTCGCCGCATTTGTTGCACCGATGGCGCTTAGCGAAGTTAACGTTGCTACACGACCCACACGTCCAATCGGGCGCCTTCCGAGGTCTAGCCTCCATTTTACCGAATTATTCCCCTCCCCCGGGTTCCCTCCGGCCTTCGATTCCCCCCGGTATCCCTCCGACCTTCGACTCCTCCCGCGGCTCTTCACGCCCCCCACCCCTCCCTGCCAACCCGGTAGCGCATTTCTTGAGTGGGCCGGAATGGCAGCATTTTGGCCATAAGTCTGGACGTTGGTTACTGGGGGAAAGAGCCGTCGACGCTGTCAGCGGACATGTGATCCTGCTGGACGTCGTGGTAGTCCCTTTCTAAACAAGCTAGGTCTTCGCGGGCTTCGGACAGTTCTGACTCCTCCATGCCTTCGCCCACGAACCAGTGGACGAACGCGCGTTTGCTGTACATTTCGTCGAACTTGGCCGTGATGCGCTCGAAGACACTCGAGAGCGCGGTAGTGTTGGAGATCATGGCCACTGCCCGCGGTACCTCGGCTATACCCGAACCCGGCACAGCCTTGGGCGCCTGACTGTTGATCCCCGTCTTGAAACCCGTTGGCGACCAGTCCACGAAACGGATCTGGCTCTTCGTACGCATTAACGAGATCGCCTGGGTCATATCGTTCGGAGCCACGTCGCCTCTGCAACAGCAATATTGCGGAAAGGGGGAAAACATCAGTAGGGGAGAACATCGGTAGGGGAGAACATCAGTAGGGGAGAACATCAGTAGGGGAGAACACCAGTAGGGGAGAACACCAGTAGGGGGGTAGGGACTGGCTTACCGATACATGAGGCAACAAGCCATGTATTTGCCTTTTCTAGGGTCGCATTTGGCCATGAGGTTGCTGGGCTCAAAGGCGGCGGTTGTGATGCCGTTGACGGCCATGGTTTCATGGGTGGCTTTGCGGTCGCTGATAATAGGTGCGTAGGAGCTGAGCATGAAGTGGATGCGTGGGTAGGGGACTAGGTTGGTTTGAAATTCCTTAATGTCCATGTTGAGTGCGCCTGAGAAGCGAAGGGAGGCAGTGAGTGAGGAGATAACTTGGCAGACGAGTCTATTCAGGTTGGTATAGCCAGGTCTTTCAACGTCGAGGTTCTTGCGGCAGATGTCGTAAATGGCTTCGTTGTCGAGGACGGCAGAGACATCCGAGTGGTTGAGTAGCGCGTGGGTGGTCATGATGGCGTTGTAAGGTTCGACAACAGCGGTGGCGATTCGCGGTGAGGGCCAGGTGGAAAAGTGGAAGCGGTTGGTGCGGCCGTAGCCCACAGAGATTAGTTCGGAAATAAGTGCGGTCAGACCTGAACCCGTGCCGCCTCCCACGGCATGGTAGATAATGAAGCCCTGCAGCACGTTGCACTGCTCTACTGTGCGCCGGATCTTCTCCATGACCGTGTCGCTGATGTCCTTGCCGACTGTATAATGTCCCCGCGCGAAGTTGTTCGCCGCATCTTCCTTGCCCGTTACCATCATATCCGGGTTGAACAAACTTTTGTACTCGCCGTTCCGAATCCCATCAATCACGCTCGGCTCCAAGTCAACCATCACACAACGTGGCACGCACTTGCCCGAACTCGACTCCTGGAAGAACGTGGTGAACGAATCGTTATCCGCACCCGCCGGCCGGCCGTCAGCCATCTTCCCATCCGTCGCCATCGTCCCGTCCGGGTTCACGTCATGCTCCAGGCAAAACAACTCCCACGACGCCGAACCCGTCTGGCACCCTGCCTGACCGAAATGCAGAGACACGATTTCTCTCATTGCAAAAATAAACGCCAACCAAAATCGCCCGCTCACCGCTGAGAAGACTGCGCAAGAACACGGCAAGGTGCTCAGGAACCCCAGACTCGCCGAAACACCACCGCCCGATCTGTCCGGAGTGTGTGCCACCGCCCGATCTGTCCGGAGTGTGTGCCACCGCCCGATCTGTCCGGAGTGTGTGCCACCCACCTGCCACGATCTAAGTGCACACTCGTGCGTTGCACACTCGTGCGTGTGCACAATGGCGCCAGCACAAGGACACAAACAAGCTGTGTCTCGACTCGCATGCGACCCGGCACATACGTGCTGAGAGACGTCGTTTATGATTCGCGATCTGTTCAAGTGGGGCGTCGAAAAACATTGTAGGGAGGGAGACAAGAGGTGAAAACAACGTAGCGGAAACAACGCGGTACAAAAGGGCGGTAGATTATTCTGAGGTAGGGGGAGTCGTCGGTGGGGGAGTCGCCGGTAGTGGAGTCGGTGAAGCGGTAGGCGGGGTGGTGGTTGGCGCGTTATCGGGTGTGGCGATGTAAACGGGGAAGTGGTGGTTGAGTGCTTTGCAGAGCGGGACGCTGACGCCGGTGTCTACGCCTCCGTTGGAGGAGCGCCAGTTTTGGGAGCGGTCTGCAACAATGATGAGTCGTTTGATGCGTGAGTGGGTGAGACCCATGGTGCACATGACGCAGGGTTCGCCGAACACATACGCGTCACAGTTGGAGGCGTAATACTGGTCCGGCTCGACGCCGTTGACGGACTGTGAAGTCTGCACTTCCTGCAGTGCCGCCATATGTGGCCCCCGCAGCCGCTTCGCCGCGCGGCCGCCGCCCAAAATGTCCACCACCGTCTCGCCCAACCGCTGTAGCGCGTACAAACACGAGTGCCGCAACAAGTGCATGTCCACCACGTCCTCCTCGCGCTCCGCGTGCGCCACCAAGTGCTCCCCCAAGTACAGCTGACACACCTTCGAACACTCGAAAATCCGGCTGTCCCCTTCTTGCTTTTGGTCCTGGTCTTGGTCCTGGTCCCCACCCTGATGGTCATGGACCCCAACTCGACGGTCATGGACCCGGATGACTGGCGCAGAGGTCCTGGCAGCGGCCAACAGCCGTTGTGCTCGCTCCTTGATTTCGGCTACCTCGGACTTCAGCAATGGTGTCGGGTTCCACTCGTTCTTTCCTCTACGGAATATGGTCGGCCAAATACTCAGGCTCTGCAGCTTAGACTCCTCTGACGTCCGCGGGGGGTATCTCGGGACCTTTACCGCGTCCACCGTCGGCTCGATCTCGAGCTCGCTCAATATAGTCTTCTGTTCATCAGACAATTCCTGCGAAGACGGACTTTGCGGTGCAGCGCCTGTAGTGAGCTTACATCAGTTTGAGACAACAAAATTTGAACTTTACCTTCCACCTTACGCCCTCGTTTTAGGTGGGAAAAATCAGCAGACAAAGGGAAATGCCCAGACACCAATTGCATCAAACGAGACACCGCCGCACCTTGACACATTACTGCATACATCGTCAAAGTGTCATTTCTACTTGCATTCCACCATAAAGGGCATAGCTGCTCCACCTCCATATATTTAATTTTCTGTTTTCCCGGGAAAGCGCCGTTTGCGAAAACGTGTGCACACGATCGCAATGAACTCCCCAAGAAACACTCGAAGCTATATTGATGACTGCGATGCTATATTGCGACCTAAATCAAATGAGGAGTTGGTCAAACAGATTGTAGCGCTCATGCCAGCGGACGGAGAAGGTAATTGCGGATTCATAGGTTACGAGACATCCTGAGGTTTGATAGACAAAATCGGAGTGGCTTGCAGCTGTATTCTCTCGATCTTTAAGAACGCTAGCCACAGCAGCTCGGAAGAAATTCGTCAGCTGAAACAGGAAAATGAAGACCTGCAGAAAAAACTTTCTGTCTGTCAGAAAAAGAATCAACAACAAGCAGTAGAAATAGCGGACAGCAACCGTCGAATGAAGGACATTCGAGATGAGTTGCAAACCGCGAAGGACGCGCTGAAACGAGCTCAGACTCGCAACGAGCAGCTGGAAAAGCTACGCGAAACGATACTGCGGTCAGCTCAAGATCCTTCGCTGGGAGTTGAAGACTGTCGGTACGGTGGAGATCCCGTCATGACGCATATGGAGCCGGTAGGATTATATCAGTATTCCAGAAGTATCTCTATTACAGGCGCCGAAAAATTTGATAGGCAAAGGCACAAAGAGTGACGCGTTTGCAAAGGCGCTGTTCGGCAAGATAAAAAAACGCAAGCCACATAACGAGTGGATGACGATTGTTGAGATAATCAATGACATTACGAAAAGGAAAGTGCCGACAAACGAAGGCTCTGCAAAAGTCCTAGAGTTGCTTGGTCTTGAGAACCAAGATCTACAAGAAGAATTCGCCCGGTTGGTGGAGCGCTTCGAAGCAAACGATAGTGTCAGTGAGATCTGCTAATGTCTTGTTTGCAGAAGAAGGGTTTTATATGATGTTAAGAGATGTGTTATTCTCTTACGTGAGATGGTTTTCGCAATTGACTATACGTGTATCGCTGGATGGTGCAGAACGGATGCTGTCACATGGGGCAGATTTGGGTGCGGATGCCTTTTATCGAGAGCCTCCTGTGAATGACAATGGCGTCTTGCCTCCTCTTCTGCAGATTAGTGAGAACAAGACCATCGACATGAGGGCTCCTGAGGCGACGGTGGAAGACTCCCAGGCGGTAGCCAAAGGCAAAGAGTTAAACAGAGGGCTGGGGTTGGCCAAAGGCGGGGAGTTGGCCGCCAAGGAGAGCAAGGGTGAAGAGGAGCGCCGTTGTTGCGAGGATTGCGGCCGCGTGTGCGGTCCGGTCTGTGTGCAATGTAGTGGCGGTATGGATAGTGCGTGTGTGCAGGGAGCAGTGAAGTTGTTGCAGAAGGAGCTGTGCCAGGTGCAGAGTCGGTTGGCGGCAGTGCGGCCGCACATTGACCGGGGTTGTCTGCAGTCGGTGGAGGGCATGACGAACTCGGTTCTGAACATTTTGCGTCGCGAGGCCGCTTCCGGAGAGGTTGGTGTGTTGAACGTGCTGCCCAAGGTGTTGGAGGTGATGGATAGTGAGCACTTGGCGTTCGAGTCTTTTGTGCGGCAGCGCGACCAGATTTTCCAGTTGGTGACGGGGCCGCGTTTTTCGAGTGCGAACCACCGAGGGTCGCGAAGCCTGACGATTTCGCCGGATGCCTTTCCGTTGGAGAGCCAGGGGAAACTGTGGCAGGTGATTGCGGGGCTGGACGCACCGGCGGACCTCAAGTACGTGGCCTACGCGACAGATGACGGCGGCTGGATGGATCTAGTTCCGTGGTGGAAGCGGTCGCCCTTGTCGTTGCGCTGGGCAAGTCTAGTCTTTGCGGACCAGCGTTGGCTCGCCTATGCCGAGCTATACGCCCGCGCGCCGGTCGATCTACGCTGGCTCGCCATCCACTTCAACGACCCACGCTGGTTACACTTTTGTTCGCGCTGGAAATTCATTCTGCCCGAGCAAAAACGCCGAGCCGTCGAGTGCCGCGACTACACCTTTCTCCGCGGGGGCTCCAGCGTGCAGAGTGCGGCCAACCGCACCATGGGCCTCGGCTGCAGCTCGGGCCTGTGCCAGGCCGGAGTGAGCAAGTTCGGCGCATGCCCGGCGGCCGGAGCATGTCCGCCGGGAGCGTGTCCGTCGGGAGCGTGTCCATCGGGAGTGTGCCAACGTAGTGTGAACAATGGAGGTGGCGGCCCCGGCGGTGGCGCTGGCCCCGGTGGGTTGGCGTCAAAAACGGTTGCGGGGGAGATGGCCGGTGAGCAGCGTGTGCGCGACTGCAACAGCCTGGGTGGCTGTATGGGGGACGTGGCTGGGGAGACGTACGTGGGTTCTCGGTTTGAGTTGTGGGATTGCCCGCGGCCGGTGGAGGACTATTACTTGATTCCAGTAGAATTGCGCCGGGGTTACCAGACTCGGTTATGTAACCGTTGCGTGCAGTGCCCGATTCACTGTTCCACGATCTCGACCGTGCGCCTGGACCTGATTGAGTTCAATCAGCTGAAGGATTGCATGGAGTCCATGTTTCGCGAGTTGTTGGCCCAGGTCCAGGCGCAGCAGCAATCACACGACAGCATCGTTGACGAGTTCAAGACGAAGCTGCGGCAGAGTGAAACTGAGGCGGACCGTTACAAGAAAGAAGTGCGGCAGCTGAACGGACAACACGAGACACTGGTGCAGCAGAGCCAGTTGGCCCAAGAGCAGTTGACCGCGCAGCTTGCAATCTGCAAGCAGAACTACTTGGAGCTCGAAGCTATCCTTGCCCAGGAACGAGAAGCCTGGGCACGGCGGCAGCAGGACTGGGAGTCAGACCGGATCAGGCTAATGGAGCTCTGGAAAGAGGCTTCGCTCAACGGCCCCGCGCTCGCCTCCCCGGGACCCCAGGCGAAACCAACGCCAGAAATGAAGTCAGCGCCAGCGAAGGAGCCGGCGGCAGCGAAAAAAAGCGATCCCCAGAAGGCGAAGCCCGCCCCCGCCAAGCCCGCTCCTGCCAAGTCCACTGCGACCAAGGCAGAACCGAAGAAGGAGCCCGGGCCGGCCAAGGCAGCACCAGTCAAGGCAGCACTTGTGAAGGCAGAACCGAAGAAGGATCCCAAGCCGGCCAAGGCAGCACCAGTCAAGGCAGAACCGAAGAAGGAGTCTGGGGGGGCGAAGGCAGATCCGAAGAAGGAGTCTGGGGCGGCGAAGGCAGCGCCACCGAAGTCAGCACCAACCAAGGCAGCACCAACCAAGGCAGCACCAACGAAGTCGGCGCCGACGAAGGCGGCACCAACGAAGGCAGCACCAACCAAGGTGGCGAAGGAAGAAGCAATTAAGTCAATACCAACGAAGGCAGAAGCAACCAAGTCAGCACAAACGAAGGCAGGAGCAACGAAGTCCCCCTTGAGTTCAGCGCCTGTGGCGAAAGCTCCGCCCGAGAAGGTGACGGCCAAGACGGCAGAGCCCCGGGCGAAGGAAACAAAGGCAGTGTCCCCGAAGCCTAAGTCGGAGCCGGGGAGCGCAAAGCCTAAGCAGGCAGCCGCAGAACAACCGAAACCCGCTGAGGCAGCCAAGCCGGCCCCGACAGCCAAGCAAGCCCCGACAGCCAAGCAAGCTCCCACAACCAAGCAAGCTCCCACAGCCAAGCAAGCCTCCACAGCCAAGCAAGCTCCCACAGCCAAGCAAGCTCCCACAGCCAAGCAGGCCCCCACAGCCAAGCAAGCCTCCACAGCCAAGCAAGCTCCCACAACCAAGCAAGGCGCCACAGCCAAGCAAGGCCCGACAGCCAAGCAAGGCCCGACAGCCAAGCCAGCGGAAACGGAGGCGGCACCAAAGAGAGGATCCGCTGTGGCGAAGGCCCAGTCCTCGTCGGACCAGAAGACCAAGACGCCAGGCAGCGAACCTGGAGCAACTAAATCGGAACCGGCAAAGTCGAATATGAAACAGCCGGCTGCCAAGGCTCCTCCTCCCGCGGCTACCAAGGATTCCCACCTGGCAGCTGCGAAGCCTTCACATCCCGCAGGTGCTAAGGCTTCCCACGCTTCCCACCCCGTAGCTGCGAAGGCTTCTAACCCCACAGCTACCAAAGCTTCCCCTCCCGCAGCAGCCAAGGCCCATCCGCCAGCGAGCAATAAGCCGGTCGTAACTTTGAAGGCTCCTCCCGAGCACGTGGCGACGCCGTTGAACAGGGGAGTGCTTGTGTCGGATTTGCAGACCGTCGCGCGTGCTGCAAAGGCCACGACATACTACGAAGAGCTGTCAGAAGGCACCACGCACATCCACGACATTGTCAGGGATATTCTACAGAAAAAGGTCGCCACGTAGTTTTTGTCAATGACACTCCCACATTATTTGAGCACCTTCACACCAGACAACATTGCACGGCTGCTGATACGGGACTATCAGAAGGCTCTCGAAACAAAATGTAAACGTCACCGAGGCTTGACCACGTTGCATTGGCCCATAAATAGCTTCGGTTTGCAGACCCTGGTGTAACGAGAGTACCCCGCCAAGGATTCCGTTTTCGGCTCCGTCCTGGCCGGCGGTACCGCTTCCTGTGCAAGCCGCCCGAGGGCATTAGTCTTAGTTCATACTCGTTGGTCAAGTCGATCGCCTACCGCTCATTCAACAAGTTCGAGCGAGCCAGCCTCAACAGAACGTACCTAGACGACGCCATCTCGCACCTCGCCGAAACCAAGCAACCGTCCAACATCAACAAAGCTGTGGTGGCCGCCAAACTGCCCTCGTCCAACACTAAGAACACCACGACATACAAGGAATTCAAAGTCGAGCACAACGAAGAAACCATCACCGTCGGTGCACTACCGACGTGTCCCACCAAAATGCTAGCCATCCCGCTCCTGTGCGTTGACGCCAAGAACATACCTGCGCCTCAGTACTTCGACTCCAAAGGCGAAGAGCTCTACAAAAACTTGCCGCCAGACAGCTGGGGACCGACCATCTTAGAAACCATCGCCCAAGACATCAGATATATAGCCTTCGGCTCCACCCTCTTCAAACTCTCCTTCACCCGCGACAAGGAGCGAGCAGACTTCGACCAACTCTACTACCTCTCTGGCAAACAACAGTAAGTCTCCCGAGCCCGCTCCCGAGCCCGCTTTGTCCCTCTGTTGTGCCCCTCTGCTACGCTGTTGTCTTCCAGAATCAAAAGATGCGATGCGTGCCGTTTGCACACTGCGGAATCTCAGGTGCTTGGCAGTCTATTGTTGCCCGCCAGTCCCATGTACTTCTGCGGCGTCTGCTACAAGGAATTGTTCGGGGAAGCCAGCAACTCCGACCATGTAACGGTGGTAATAAACCCCATCTGACCGACCCGTCAGTTGCTTGTCGACAAGATCGGCTCGATAAGTCTGACTGATCAGTCAGACGTCCACCCGCGCGGCTCATCACTCAGTCGGCCCGTCACCGCCGCCTGTTGTTAGCCTTTCTTGGGTGGTTCACTGGCCTTCTTGGGCAGTATCTTGGTGGCGGTTGCCGGTTTGGCTTCGCCTGCGGGTTTGGCCGTCTTGGCCTCTGCAGGCTTCGCCGCCGGGGGTTTCGCATCCGCAGGTTTGGCCGCTGCGGGCTTGGCGGCCTTCTCGTCCGGCTTGCCCACGGGCTTCGCGTCCTTCTTCACCTCCGTACCGCCTTTGGCCTCTTCCTTCTTCGCCCCGCCCTTCTGCTTAATCCAGGAGCGGTCCGTGGGTGCGGTAGGTTGGCCGCTGGCGCCGCGGAAGACGAGGCCGGCGCCGCCCTTGAAAACTTTGGCATTGGTGCCGCCTGTTTTGGTCGCAGACACACGCGGCTTACGCTGACCGCCGCCGGTACCAAGCCCCGTGGAAGCCGCAAAGACGCCGGCCTTCTCCATTCCCTCAATCAACAACCGTCTGCAGGTGATCTGGCGGATACAACACTGCTCAATGAGCCGCGTCCAACCACGAGCAGCCAAGAACGAAATGCGGTCGTGCAGACCGGCCACACCGTGCGGCTTGAGCACGCGACTGAGCCGCATAATCCAGTCGAACGCCTCAGAGTCCGTCGCCGTGAAGAAGTCGAAGACGCGGCCCTCCTTCGTCACAATCGTGAAGCAGGACGTCAGGGAAATGCGCGGCCATGTGGCCAACAACCCCTTCGGCGCACCCACTGGCGGCGCCGTGAGCTGGTCCTCGGCGCCCGAACCCGAGGAAGGCGTGTTCGCGCCCGGTGGACAGTCGAACCGCCGCTTGTAGTCCGTCATGTGCGACGCGTAGCCGTAGGCCACGCGGGCAATCTCGTCCAGCTTTATCACCTTGCTCACCACGTCGCCCTCGCCCTTCGACCAACCCAGCCGCGCCGTCTTCGAGTCAACCTGCAGATACCGCGTGCCGAACGTATGCTTGCCCGAAGTCGGGTGCCAGCGCACCTTGATCACCAAGCCGCGGTGCCGAATCGCCTCCTCCGGCGCCTTCTTGTTCACCTCGCCCGCGTCCTTGCTCGCGTCAATCTTCTCCGTACCCTCCTTGTATGTCTTCTCCTTCTTTGCGGCCTTCACTTCCTCCTTCATGGTGCCCGTCGGCGCCTTCGGCTTGTTCAAGCCCGAACCACCCACGTCCAGCTTGACCGACAAACCGCCCTTGCCGCCCTTGCCACCTGCACCCGCGCCACCCTTGAACTTATCCATCAGCCCTCCCAAGCCGCCACTGCCGCCAGCGCCACCGCCTGCGCCCCCACCCGCGCCCCCACCGCCGGCACCGCCGCCGCCTGCCTTGGCCTTGGCCAACGCATCCTCCAAAGCCTTCCGGGCCTCTCCACAGTCCTTCAACATGTTAGTCAACTGGCTGATCTCGTCCATGTACTTCTTCCGCTCCGCAGCGTGCTGGTCCTTCAGCGCGGCGAGCTCCTTCTCCAGCTCCAGCACACGCTGTTCCCACTGCTTTAGACCCTTTGAATTCCGGCTAAGACAAATCTCACATTAACTCACCAAAAAACTTACTCCAGGATCTGCAGCTGCGCCAAGCACAGGTCCAGCTGACTCTGCCGCTCTCTCAACGCCTCCAGGAGAGACGATTTTTCTTCCTACAGCATATGTCTAAAGTCTCACGCAGTAGAGCTCTTACGCCAAGTTGCAGCACGTGGTGAGCAAGGATGTCATACCGGCTCTGCATGTCCGTCAAACGATGTTCCAGATCCTGCATGGCGCCCTGCTTGTGCATCCTAATCGCAAAAGTCATACGCATTCCCACCTTCGACACTTACGCGACTCTTTGTGCGTCTTGGAGCTGTGACTTCAACTTGGTCACCGTGTCCACTGCACTTGCTGCTTGCTGCAAAGACTCATCCCTGCGAGCATCATGAAATATAAACCGCTCTCCCCTCACCGTTGCTCGTTCGCTTGCGTCTTCGCCAATTTCAGTCTGTGGAGATGGTCCGACGCAAGTCCCTTCTCGGTCTGAAGTTTAGTCAGCTCCTGCTTGACTACATCGTACTGATGCGATAATAGATCGTAAGCCTCCTTAGTCACATGTTGCCCACTTCTCAACGGATCCACCTCGTATGCTCGCTGCAACTCAGCTTTGAGCGCTTCCAGTTCATTTTTCAAAACTTGGTTCTACGATTGGAACAATCTCGGTTTGACCACTTCGTACCGCTCCAGCAAATTTTGAGCCCCACTTTTGTAGGCGCATCTGTTCATTTCTTAATTCGTCCAAAGCTGATTAGTAGATGTTGACCACATAAGAGGGTGTCTCACATTTTGGTCCGAATTCATATTTGGTAAGTCCTCGAGCGCTGCAGAAAGTCTAGTCTACGTCATGAACGAGCTAGTAAATATACCTCGCCAGGTGGTGTATTTGATTATTCTCGCTAGTAACCGGATACTCCCGATAAACTAGGTCTTGGTGCTGAATAGGTTCAAATTTTGAGAGATCAACCATACCAATCTGTTCTTGACTTTGTCTTCAGCCTCGTAGCTGCTTGTCGTGTTTAACTTTTCAAAATTCGCGATGTCGAAGTCATTCATTCGTCAAAAAACATGCAGCGCACACGTGTGCACACCTCATAATAATAGCATTGACGCTCGCTTATTGATGGCGATAACGAAAAAGGATTCGTCAGCTCAAAAGTCAGCGAAGTATTCTTGATCTCGACGACTTAGCACAGTATCATCAGCTGAAGATAGTGAGATTAAGGGAAGGGAGTGTATGGTGATTACCTTCATCGTTTTCTGAGTAATAGTCGAACATGCTGACATCATCAGACGATGCGACTTTTGGAATATAAGGCGCAGGGATCCTTCTTTCGTAGCAGTCGATCCAAGATATATTCCTGAAGAATTTGTGCCGTTTGACATCCTCAGCCCCATGTTTTAGACAGCCGTATCGTTTAGATCTATCATGAGTAAGTAATTTGCGAATTAAATCCTTGGCACGCGAATCAATGAACTCCGGGTATTCCACATGGCCGTCCATTACTTTTCTATATATTTTCATTGGATCATCATCAAAGAAGGGCGGACCTCCTACTAACATCTCATAAATTAGAATACCAAGCGCCCACCAATCAACCGATTTCCCGTGGCCTTTGCTTTGTATAATTTCTGGTGCTAAATACTCAGGGGTACCACATAATGTCCACGTTCGGTCCTCCACTACCTTGCTGAACCCAAAGTCCGTCATTTTAATGTGACCTTGGGAATCTAACAATAAATTCTCGGGTTTCAGATCCCTATAAACTATTCTAAGGTCTGAAGGACAAAAACGGCATGTCGATGGTGTGTCAGCAACAGGATCGAATCAATCACAGGATCACAGAAACAGGATCACAGAAACAGGATCACAGAAATCCGCAAGGGGGGGGGGG